TGTTATATTGGGGTAGAGGTGTAATTGGCAAGTTTTTGTTTCACTGCATCGTGCTCAGTGATATACTACACTTCACATTAGCAGGGCTATATGAATCAATAGGCTCAAAGAACCCAGGACTAGGCTGCAGCAGTTTTGGAGGCACCATTTTGGAGAGACAGCTCTGAGGGAAGCAATGTGGACAGATGTACTCTAAGGAGTGACTGGCTGGCCAACACTCCTATTGCAGCTGTGCTGACTGGCTGGCTCAGAGGAGCTGTACAGACACCTTTTGATCATTGAGCTGCTCCTTCAATGTCAGTTTAATGGTGCAGCAGGGGTACAGAGTAATGGCCGGACTCTGCACGGGTGCTCGAGGGGGCAAGGATGCAGGGATCCTTTCTCTTCCCTCCCTTGTGTGGCTCCCATCTCTCCTCCCACTTGAAGGGGCTGGGCACAATGGGAATCCTTTGGCTCAGAAACACATAGGGCTGGCTCTGCTGTAATCACTAGCTTTAGCAAAGGAAGTAGGGAATAGATGTGTGCATGAGCCTTCCTACAGCAGACCAGCCAGGCTGGGTGGGCACACTGCAACTATTACAAGCACTGTGTGTCTCAGAAGCCCAGGGCTGTGACTACAAGGTCCAGCAGGTAGGGCAGTAGACAAGGAATCAAGGATTCTATTCCTGGCCTTGCTGTTGGTTTGCTGTGTGACTGAATAAGTCACTTACCCTTGCTGTCCCTCAATTTCTCCATGTGTAAGATGAGAATAGTTATATTTACCCTTTGAGATCTATAGATGAAAAATGTTAATTCCACACTTTGGCCCTATGGATATTGTTTGTATGAGTTATAGACATTTCACTAAGTTAATTTAACTACCTTGCACCAAAATGTCTTGAAACTGCAAAGTGAAGTAGTATCAAACATGTAGTATATTTAGCAAATGATGATGTAAATAGACATAGGAAGGAGAAAAACACATTTTCCTGGGCTGCAGAGTTTAACAAAAGTTTTGTTCAAGACACAGATCATTTGAGGAGTGGGAAGGAGAAAGGTGTGTGCAACAACTACAACACTAATAATTTGAAGACTGAACTCGGTTATGTTTCTGGATCGTACTTTCCTTTAATAAAGGCCCTCTGACAACTGTGACATCATCAGTGGCGTGGAGTACATTGAAAGTTATGGGAGCAGGTATGAAGAAATAGTTCTTGATTTATAGTCAGTGTTCTGCTTCTCTGCTAGTGCCAGATGGTTTTAATGGAAGATGCTGGTCCAAATGTTTCCCTCTTAGAGGGGTGTAAACTCTAGTGGGTGCAGACACTTCTGTCCTGTCACGTTCATCCTGCCATCCGAGTCTTCTCTCTTCCACATCCTCATTGCCTATCTTAATATTCTTAATGTGGGTTTGGGGTTTTTTTGTACCTAATATGGCACTGTTTGCATTGTGGATCACTGTGATCTCAAAACCAATCATCAGAGGCAGTCGTGTTTTCTTAATTATGATAGCTGTGGTATATCTGAGAATATCTGATCAGGACCAGATACCAGTGAGAAGACTGTAGAACTCAGTCTCTCAGGGTAGCAGATTTAAAGAAAAGCAATGTTTTAGTACTAGTTATATATATATATACACACACACACACACACATTACATTTTATACTGACTCGGACAACATGATTTATACATCTTCCAATACACATCCCTACACACAACTACCTTCTCAATTAATATCCAATTTCACAATAGCTAGCAGGACTGTCTCAGTACAGCAACTGTGCTGTAAGTTTCTTGCCATTACCTCTAAACACATCAGAAGGCAGGTGGCACTAGATCCTTTTTTTTGCCTTTTCTACATTTAGGGCTAAGTCTTTCCAATAACAGTTCTGCACATGCACATTCTTGCCTTCTCTGAATAAAGAACTGAATAGCAGACGTTTGTTCTGTCAGGAATCATACACAGCCCTTAACTCACCAGGTTAAGAGGGTAATTGTACAGAATCTGTTTAGTTATATATGATGTACAGTACTTTAGGATATTGAGTGACATTCAAATTTTGGGAGGCTTCTTCCCATAGAATTTCAACCTTTAGAAGGAGAAGAGTGATGTGAAAGACTGCAACATCAAAAGGAATTCTTTATGCTGGCCATTCGCTCCATGCTTAGCTGGGCAAACAAACCATTAAGTGTACAGCGGAAATGAAGCCAGTTGTTCTGAAAAGGCTGTATAGACTAATCCTTTGCTTTCTAAGCTAGCTTTAATTTAAAGACGGACAAGCACTAAGTATACAATAAGATTCAGCTATGTTAAGTCACTCTTACAAACATGGCTGTTCTTGGACAGGTAAAATGCTCTTCCATCTTGCCGTGTACACCATGCCAAATCATGGTTTTACAGTGTCCCTTGAACTGTGCTAAGGATCAAGACTTTGGAGACTTTGCTTGTTCCCATCTACACTGCAAGATAGAACAGTGTTAATACTTCATTGGGGACCTCTGACAGTTGATTCTGTAGTGTAGCCAGGACACAGCCTTTAAATGCTAAAATAGGTGTTCAAATACCATTGTAATGGGTACAGGGTACACTGATTTCAGTACTAATTTTTGGCTAGAGCTGCTTTGTCTTTCATTTGATATTAAAGCACACAGTACTGGAGTTAAGGGAATTGTCACTTTTGGACATCTGTTTTCCAAACCATGAAAAACATAATACATCCCAGACAGATTAGGAAACAAACATTTATTATAAACTGGTAGTTTTACAGATCTATAAAAGTGATCAACTTTTTTCAGTACACAGACTAAGAATACATAATTTGAACACAGCCCATTAGAGGCACATGGTGAAAAGTTAAAAGTCAAATAGTCTCACGTTCTTCGGCAGTTGAAAGTGTCCCCACCACAACTGAACACTCATAATGACACTTATACAATATTAACAAAATGGACTGAGTCTGCTACACAAGAGGCGCTGCATAGGTCATCTTTGCATTGCATAAAGAATATACATGTTACAGTCAAAGGGATAATTGAGAAACAAAACTGGATCCCATGAATTATATGCAGGTACAAAGAGATTGGCAAAGACAAAAGAACATGGACAATCAGATCATAAAGACATTGTACATAAGCACCATAATACCTTCTGTAGAGCAATAGACTCTGGCTTTTAAAAGAAGTGCATAAACAAAGGTAAATCCAGAAAAAGCTGCCATTTTATAATATCACCAGATTAACTCTCAGGATTTATAAGATCAAGAATGAAAAATGGTTACACTGTGTGTGTGTCTTACATAAAAGGCCAAATTCTATCTGTTCTGTCCATCCACATGGAATTAGTGCAAATTAACACTACAAAAACAGTTATTTTGTGCCAGTGTTCAGGCCAGCAAGCAACTGAAATATACCTTAGTGGAGAAGCCATTTACAAAGTGTCTGTACATTAAAATATCCATCCCATATATGGGAGAAACTGTGAAATAATAGCTTATCAAAAATGAGTTCTTGGGCTCTTTGAGTGCTTTGTTTGTATTTTTCCTCATTAATATAAAAACCTAGGGCCACTTTAATGGTCTGATTGTGGTGTCCTGCCTAGTCACTCAGCAACCTCGTCTCATTTTCTGGTCCCAGTCTGACACCCTGAGCCAGTGCTCTCAGACCTTCAGGTTCGGTAGGTGGGGGAAGAGAGTGCCTCACATTGTTCAACAGCAACTCCCCCCTCCAGTATTATCAACTAGAAGGATGCTGTTGAACTGCAACCATTCTGAATGGGAAACAAATGAGTCCCCAGACTCTAGGAAGAAGACGACAGCATTCCAAACCCCATTGAGAAAAATCATTCAAAAGCCTCCCAATAATCAGCCCTGTGATCTTTATTAACTTGCTTGTTTTGGTACACTCCAGTTGATACAGCCAGCATCAATTTCATATTAGATATTTTCTTTATCCTGGAACTGTAACCTGCGTTTGCAGGGAGTTTAGTGATCCAGTAGTTCTTTTCTGTTGCTAACTATTAAGATCCTATAAAACTTGCATCAAGAAACAAGGCAGTCTTGGCTAATGCTGCCAGCATTTATAAATTAAGAGGAAAGCAGCCCAGTGAAATGAGCTATGAAGGTCATTGTGACTGTTCCATAAAAACGTAGAATTTAACTCAGCTTGAGGTATTCTGATGCCATAGAACAACATCCCCTTTGCACTTTCATTTCTTTAGAGGAAAAGCAGAGGAATAAAAGCCAAACATTTTGTCATCCTGAAAGAAAAGCTATCAGGAGACAAAGTTTAATGTGGTGTTCTATTCTTACCTGCCCCTAAGGCAATGTTTTCCCAGGACTTATTTTAACAGTTTATCAAAAAAGCAATATGCCTTTACAGATGGTAAGTGCAAAAGGACAGTTGTGAATTGCTTGAGTATGAGATGGTGGGACAAATCTATGAGTTTTAATACCAATGCAGTATACACTTCTCCCAAATGTGGCCTCACCCAGTCAAATGCATATTTAAGAGAGCAATAATTACAAAAAAATTAAAGCGAAGAGCTAAACCATAGGTGGTTTCCTGATAGTCTTAACGTGTAGCTGATTTAAAGATGCTGTGTTTTTTTATTTTTAAAATCCATACTATATTAATAGCAGTTTGGGGGTTAGAAACTAAGGCAGTTCCTTCCAGCTTGGGGGAAAAAACAAAACCACAGCTTCTTTGCACAGTGATCTGTTCTCCAATTATAAACAAGAACAAACCAGTTATTTGAGAAATCCTTTTGGTTTGAATATTCCTGAGAAGGCTAGAGGCTTATCAGCTTTTTCCTTCTTTTCATGCTATTCCCAAATTTTGCTTCATTTTTTCATAAACCACATAGCTGATGCTGACAGCCGGAAGCACTTTCATGAAGTTTGGGCCTATGCCTCTATAAAGTCCTAGGATTCCTTCGTTAGCAATTATCCTTTGAAAGAGTCCAACCATGTTTAGCTGTGGGGCTCCTTCCAACAGAGCTAAAAAAGAAAAGGAAGATAGCAATCTCCATCATTCAGCAGTTCTAGTGAGGTTAATTTTCTAATCATATAAAGCTCCTCACTATACAGATGTACAACTTATCACCTCTAACCCTATGGACTTGGTACAGAGTCTTCTCAACACTATTTCCTAGCACAGCAACGTCTGCTCTCAGTCATTAAGTTTGGGGCAAGTCTCTTTCAGCTGCAGACCTGTGCCTTGGAACTCCCTCCCATGAAAGGTCCACAAGAATACTTTGCTTGTTGCACTAACAACATGCTGGAAGTTGATCTATCCTCTCCTGTCTGAGACCTCGCTCTACCACCTTTCTTTTCACCTATTTGCAACAGTTGATAACAGAGTAGCAGTCGTGTTAGTCTGTATCCGCAAAAAGAACAGGAGTACTTGTGGCACCTTAGAGACTAACAAATTTATTTGAGCATAAGCTTTAGTGGGCTACAGCCCACTTCATCGGATGCATAGAATGGAGATATATATACACATACAGAGAACATGAAAAGGTGGGAGGTGTCCTAACAACTCTAAGAGGCTAATTAAGGAAAAAACTTTTGTAGTGATAAGCAAGATAGCCCATTACAGACAGTTTGATAAGAGGTGTGAAAATACTTAACATGGGAAAATAGATTCAATGTGTGTAATGGCTCAGCCATTCCCAGTCTGTATTCAAGCCTAACTTGATGGTGTCTAATTTGCATATTAAAGTTCGGCAGTTTCTCGTTGGAGTCTGTTTTTAAAGCTTTTTTGTTGCAAAATTGCCACCTTTAAGTCTGTTACTGAGTGGCCAGAGAGGTTAAAGTGTTCTCCTACTGGTTTTTGAATGTTATGATTCCTGATGTCAGATTTGTGTCCATTTATTCTTTTGCGTAGAGACTGTCCGGTTTGGCCAATGTACATGGCAGAGGGGCATTGCTGGCACATGATGGCATATATCGCATTGGTAGATGTGCAGGGTGGACATCATCATAGGACCTAATCACATCAGCCACGCCATGAGGGGCTCGTTCACCCACGAAAGCTTATGCTCAAATAAATTTCTTAGTCTCAAAGGTGCCACAAGTACTCCTGTTCTTTTAACAGCTGGTAAGTAACCCTTTTTCGGTGCTGGACTTATTGTCCTTGAGGGTCACAGCGCTTTCCTCTACACCAAATTCCTTGGTCTCCTCTGGCCATGCATTTGCTCTGGTGGTTAGTGCTTTATTTATTTATTTAAACTTCAGTTTTGTCCTTTGATTTTACAATATGGTCTTTACATAGCTTGTGATAGGAGCTCCATAAATGGGTTAAAATATTTAAGGTGATTGACACAAATCTATAAAATATAAATATTAAAACACACAGAGCTAGAATCTGTAACATGAAGGTTGTGTCAAGCACTAACAAAGCCAATCAAAAGTTTAGATGGGCAAGGTCAGTATGGTATTAGACACCTTAAAAACAGGCATACTAAGTAGGGATTATTCTCCAAATTATAAATACCTTTAAAAGATATTCTTCCCAAACCCAAATCCCAATTCTCACCTTGAGCCTGCATGCGAGTTCTGATGAGAGCAAGAGGGTAGCTGGCTAACTGACCACAGGTGCTGGAGACAGTACCACATCCGAGCAACACAAAGACACCAGGGTTAGCAGAGTCTGATGCATAACGATCTAGCCAAGCAGTCTTCAAAGCCTGACAGGAAAACATAAATAGATTTGAATGAGGTATATAAAAGTTTACACTAGATAGTTAAGCAGACTTTATAGCTAACAACAATATTAAGGTGCTCCTTTGCCTCCATAAAAATATTCCAAATGCATTCATGGGCTCAATCCTGCAAGGTGTTGAGTGCTCTGCCTCAATCCAACAAGCACTTAAGCATGTGCTTAACTTTATATGTATATAAGTAAGCCCAGTGACTTCAGTGGTATTACTTAGATGCTTAAAGTAAGAGCATGCTTAAGAGCTTTCTTTGATCAGACCACAGCACTCAGCAAGTAGAGGATCAAGCCTTATAGTGGTGATCCACAAGCACCACAAAATAAAAGTTAAAAATGTGATAGATAAAAATATTAAATTGCCTTTTCAAGTTTTATTATGAAGCATATTTCTCAGAATTAAGTGACTATACCCCAGTTACATGAGACAGACTGTGCACAGAAGGCTGACAAAGGTATTTCAGACCAAGTGCAGGTGGGAAAATGAGTACCACAATAGAAGACCCCCTCATAGAAAATGCCATCAAGTCTCACCACTGCTTTAAACTTGGGCCTTCAGCTCAAGCACTTCTGCTGCTTGTCTAGACTGGGAAAATGAGTCTTTAAAAAAGTATACAATGTGTTTAGCTAATTTGTGTTAATTAACATGTTTTTAGAGACCCCTTAGCACCCAGTGTAGGCAAAGAGAGTGGATGTTTAAAAACATGTTAGTTAGTCCTGGTCAGTCTTAGGGGTCCCATTTAGGGCTTTATAGGACAAAATCAACACTTTAAACCATACCCAGAAGCTAATTGGTAGCCAGTGCTACAAAATGAGCCATTGGTGAAACATGTCCTCAGGGCTTGTCTACACATCAAATTATTCAGAAATATCTATTTCTGATTAAATCCATGTATGGATGCTCTTATTCTGAATTAGTTTAATCCACTCCCAAAGTAGAGTAATATAATTTGGAATAAAGCACTCTTATTCTAGAATAATAGCATCCACACATGCTATTCTATGTGTGGATGCTATTATTAATCAAGAATAGTTAATCCACTTTGAATTCACACCTTATTTTATATCTGATTAATTTTATGTGTAGGCAGCCCCTCAGTGTAAAGCACATTTATGATATATTCACATTAATATAATCCAGTCATAATGAGAGGGAATAATTACATATGTTCAACTGTATCATAGCCATAGGGCTACATAACATGCAATAGCGTCAGGTGTTTAGGGTTTAAGTTTGTTGTTTAGGGATGTGCTCCAGGCCAGAAGGGGGTGTTTAAAAAGAAAGATATGAGTATATTGCATTGCAACAACCAGCTGTCTAATGTTCTGGTTTAAACCTACCAAAATCCACTTCCAAAACGTGGGCCAGATCCTGCAACACTTACTCATGCCAGCAATGCCGTTGGATGTTACAGGGAAAAAGAGGTTGACTATGAAAGGATCACCTACTTGTGTAAGGGTCCAATCCTGCCACTTTATCTCCCTGTAGTAGTAGCAATATTTATTATTTGTATTACCAAAGTACCTAGGAGCCCTAGGCATGGACCCGGACCCCACTGTGTTAGGTACTGTTCAAATACAGAACAGAAAGATGCCTCCTGCTCCAAAGAGTAATAAATTTTCTTTCAGAAAGAAAACAGATAGAAAATAGATAATTCAGGCCTGCCTGGGAGAAGCCCTCTACCCCCTGATTGGCTGCCTTCTCTACTCACCTGCCTCCTGGGAAGAGCTGCTGCAGGAAGCAGGCAGAGCTCTCTCTTTCCCCACCTCAGGAGCCAAAGTGGTTCTCACAGGAGGAGAGGGGGACACAAAAAAGTTCAGCAGCTCAGGATAGTTCTGCTCTCTCCTCCCCAGTTTCCTTCCTGTGAGCAATGGCATCGCTCCTCTCCTCTCCTATCTCCCTCCTTGCAACAGGCCTCCTCCAGGCCTGGGAAGGAGGAGACTCCACTGCAGCTGACTCCCCACAGGCCTGAGAGAAGAGGTAAAGAATCCCTGCAGCTGCAGAAGGAGCAGATGTGGGGGTGAAAGCTCCCGCAGTGGGAGCCAAAATCATCTAAATCCAGACAGACCAAACCACAATATAAATTAAAAAAAAAAAAAACCACTCATGATTCTGGGGGAATCTCATGATTTTGGTGGGTCTGACTCATGATTTTTGAATCATGGGGTTGGCAATACTGTAACACAGTAAGGAAAAATGTGAAAATCTGGCCCTGAGCATACTACAGCGGATATTTTTTGAATCCGCAAATAAGTGTAACTACAAGTAAGTTAAAATATGTATCATTCACTCACATCTGTAAGAGGGTAATAGGAGGGCAGTTTACATTTTTGTGTGTCTAAAGAAATAATACATGCATCAAGTAAACAAACTGACCTCATAGACAGCCAGGTCTATACCAGCATAAGGAATTATGCCCAGAATGTTGGGTACATAACCTTTGTAAAAGGCTTTCAACCCTTCTCTTTTTAAAATCTTCTTAGCACAGTCAAACATCCCAGAGTATTGTCCTGTTTTACCCACAGCCAGTCTGGTCTTTAAGACCTGAAGGTAGAAGAAACGTAGAATTAATTATTTGACAGGTCACGACACAGCTTACATATAGGAAACTTGGCATAACAAATCTTTGCATACTCATAAGTTTCTATTTCCAAAAAGTGAACCTCTTTGCATGTGCTGCTTAAAGTCTCCTTTGTAACAACTAGAGTTAAGGTTTGGTTAGCACTAGTTTTCTCAAGGTTTTATCATTTGTAAGAGGAATAGCCCACCTAACAAGCTCATGGTTGTGAAGGAACAGGGTGTATTTTTTTTAGTCAAAATCAGAATAAGATGAAAGTTGTGATTTGCCTTTTTTCCCCTTCTCATGTTCAAGAGAGACAATTTTTTTTAAAACAAATTACAAGATATCTAGAGCTTCTAATTAGGGCTGTTGCTTAGCGAAGTTAGCATTTAGACAGCAGAGACTGTGCAGGAACATGAACTAATTCCTTCTAAGGCTTCACTGGATCAAGCTTTTCAACTGAGGATTGCAAATCATATTAAAAACATTAAAGAAGACTCATGACATCCTTATGAGATAATTAAGGGATATACAGGGATCACTTCACTCACTACTGAAGTGCAACACAACAGCTGTTTAACAGTGCCTGTGACTTTATACCAGCATTGCAAGATAGGGAGCGAAGAACACCATGTTCAAATGAAACTGCCAAGGGAATTCCCTGAGCAGGAATTTGGCCTGCTTGGAAGTCTCGTAAGAGATGGCTCCCATATGTGATGTCTGGCACGTCAGCATCCAGTCTTGGCCAGGAACACCATAAAAACCAGCTTTACTGCAATACTATGGCATGGTTGGGAAGATGGGAATATCTTAGGGCTTTTCTCTGCTCTGGGTGCTACAGTGGCACAGCTACAGACCTGTAGTATACCACTGCAGTTCCATAGTGCAGAGGCTTCCAACCAGGATGGAAGGGTTTTTCTGTCATTGTAAGTAATCCACCTCTCTGAGCACCAGGAGCTACGTCAATGGAAGAAGGTTTCCACTTACCTAGCCACATCTACAACAGGGTTAGGTCAGCATCACTATGGCGTTCAGGGGGGTGAGTTCTTCACACCCCTGAGCAATGCAGCTACGTCAATCTAAATTTTAAGTATAGACCAGGCCTTATTGTAGAACAGGGCCTACATACGTTCACACCCGTTCTTGTGTAGTACACCATTTGAATATAAAATGACCAACACTGTAACATTTGGTTGCTTTATTCTATGTGCTTAGAAGCCAGCTGTGACTTGATTTTCTAAGGACAATAATGACTCAACTAAAAAACAAAAAACTCCACCACAGTTTATGTAGAATGCCATTGTTTTTTTATCCTCACAGAGAGACACTCCTTATCAGAAAGAGTTCAGGGTGAGTCACCATTTTATATCAGTTTCAAATCTTGCTGTGATGCTTGAACAGACCTAAATCCTGGTCCCAGCACACAGCTTGGGCAACTATGCTGTGTGATACTAGAGTCATTCATCTTTCAGGCAGAGGAAACTGATTTTCTACCCAGGCTGCAGAATGAAAAATAGCCACTCTAGAGCTATTATTCTATTCTTGAGGCTGGAAAAATTGCTGCAATACCATTCTGAAAGCCGCTACCTGTTGTATGGAGGTATAATAGCAGCGACTCCACAGAGGAGCAGATCAATCTGCCCACTCTGCCCATAGTGCAAGGAAATCCAACAGAGGTAGCTTAACTTCATCTGCACAAGCTACCTAAATCTAACCCCAACTCTGCACAGCAGACCTGTATTGGTTCTGTTGCAGGCAAGGCCTCCTCACCCCATGCCAGGGACTTGGGCCCTGTAATGGCAGGGACTTACCAACGGAGTGCCCCCGGTGGTCTGCTGTAGAACTGCAGTTAAATTTCTGCTTCAGTTCCCCCAGCGGGTTTTCAATAAGTTGAACAACAAGGAGTCCGGTGGCACCTTAAAGACTAACAGATTTGGGCATAAGCTTTTGTGGGTAAAAAACCTCACTTCTTCAGATGCATCCTTATGCCCAAATAAATCTGTTAGTCTTTAAGGTGCCACCGGACTCCTTGTTGTTTTTGTAGATACAGACTAACACGGCTACCCCCTGATACTTGACACCAATAAGTTGAATGATGCTTATATACAGTGAACAATGCCCCTTCAGGGATTTTGTTTATTTAATCAACAGCCAAACAGTGTGTAAACAAGCCTTCTCCTCCCCTAAGTTCCCAGGCTTCTCCTTTGCCTGGAGCTGTGCAGTCTCTCCCCTGAGATCACAGGGGAGTATCTCCCAGGCCTCCCTGCCTCAAGAGCTTTGTAGTCTCTCCCCTCTGGAGCTGTCTCTCTTTATGTTTTGGGGAGTGTTCCTCTCTCCAGGAGCCTCTGCTACCAATGGGCGTAGCTTCCTACCCAGCTCCTCTGAAGAGCTCTCTTCCCAGGAGCTTCCTCTCTATGTTCTGGTCTCCTGCCTGACCCTCAGAACCATTTATAAACCAAGTGTTTCTTTATTTAATTAATTAATTACTGCACAGCTGCTTATCCAATTAACTATCCACAGGTGGATCTGGATTGGCTCGTTTGCCTTAGTGGAGCCTGTCAGGCTAGATGCCTGGCCTTCAGAGGGCCAGTCCCAGTGGCAGGGCCACATTCAGGAAAGTACTTAAGCGCACACTTAACATTAAGCATATGCTTACGTCTTTTACTTCATGGGACTTAAATACACACTGAACTGCTCTGCTGGGCTGGTCTACACTGGGGGGATGGTCGATGTAAGATACGCAACTTCAGCTACGGGAATAGCGTAGCTGAAGTTGACGTATCTTATTTCGACTTACCTCAGGTCCTCACGGCGCGGGATCGACAGCCGTGGCTCCCCCGTCGACTACGCTACCGCCGCTCGCCCTGGTGGAGTTCCGGAGTCGACGGGAGCACGTTCAGGGATCGATATATCGCGTCTAGACAAGACGCGATATATCAATCCCCGATAGATGGATTACTACCCGCTAATTTGGCGGGTAGTCTGGACGTACCCGCTGAACAAAGATGCTTTCCAGACTTGGAGACTTAGCATGCAATTTGTGACAATCCAATTTCTAACATTTTAAGAGAGAAACAACACAACCCCCAACACATATGCACATGGTGGTTTGGGTTTGTTTGTTTTAAATGAGGCAATTTAAATAAAATAAAACTCAGAAAACAGCAAAACCCCACATAACACTAAACACCAGAAAATCTAAGTACACCTCTACCCCGATATAACGCGACCCGATATAACACTGGTTCGCATATAGCGTGGTAACCCCGGGGCTCCGGCAGTGGGGCTCGGGCGGCAATTTAAAGGGCCCGGGGCTCCGGCTGCTGCAGGGAGCCCTGGGCCCTATAAATCACCGCTGGAGCCCTACCGCTGCTACCCCGGAGCTGTGGCAGTGGGGCTCAGCCGGCGATTTAAAGGGCCCGGGCTCCCTGCAGCAGCCGGAGTCCGGGGCTCTTTAAATCACTGCTGGAGCCCTGCCGCCGCTACCCCGTTATAACGGGGTTTCACCTATAACGCGGTAGGGATTTTTGGCTCCCGAGGACCACGTTATGTCGGGGTAGAGGTGTATAGAACATTCCATGTTGTATCCCAGAAAGTGTTAAGTAGCATTATGGTGTGATTCTGAAGGAGTAAATCTACAGAATGCAAGTGAAAGTTGTGATGTAGACAGAACTCCTGTAATGTTTCCACAAAAAAGCTTTATCTTGCTCTTGGTGAAGTCAATAGGTTTTTTGGCACTGACTTCAATGGGAGCCCGGTCCTCTCTTGCTTACCTCCATGGGATAAATAGAGGTTTGTGCTGTTGCCCCAGCCAAAGAACCAGATACAAATCTTTCAACGGTCCCTATCTTTCCATCTTCATTAGCAAATATCTTCTTATACTGTGTAGGTAAAATACATAAAGACAAATATATCACACATCTTTCTGAGGCAGGTAGAATCCACCAGCAGAAGCAGAAATATGACACAAGAGGTTTTCCCACGAAGTTTGCATTATAGATGTCCAATTAACACAACTTAAAAATATTTACATTCTAATTCTCTGTGTAATGATTTATAAAGACATAGATCTTCCAGCCTGTGAAAGTCCTTTACATTTGGTCCCACTGAGTGGGATCAATTCTGCCCATACTATAATGGCACGGGAGCACCTCTATAGTTAAGGTTGCCCCAAGACATCGGTTTAAAGATCAACCTTTCTAAATCCTCTAAAATTGACTTGGTTAGTCTTTGTAATTTGGTATGCCTCAGGGTGGTACAGGGTAGGATTAGTGACCCAAATTTAGAATCATTTGTGCCAGGGGTCCCAGACATATAAGCCTGAGAAAAAATAGCCTTTTAAAAAAAAAAGTTGCGGGGGGGAGGGGAATCAAGCTATTGATGTGATGAGGGTCAAAATGGTCTAGATCTCTCAAACTTTATCCAAGGTAGTGCTTTGCACACACACACAATCTTTGAGGGACCCAAACTGAGAATGGTGTTTAAGAAAATGTACAGTAACTCCTTACTTAACTTTGTAGTTATGTTCCTGAAAAACGTGACCTGAAGTGAAACCAATTTCCCCATAAGAATTAATGTAAATAGGGGGGATTAGGTTCCAGGGAAAAAAAATTTCACCCGACAAAAGTGTGTGTACACACACACACACACACACACACACACACAGTATAAGTTTTAAACAAACAATTTAATACTGGTACACAGCGATGATGATTGTGAAGCTTGGTTGAGGTGGTGAAGTCAGAGGGTGGGATATTTCCCAGGGAATGCCTTACTGCTAAATGATGAATTAGCAATCGGCTGAGGGTTAACCCATTGTTGTTAATGTAGCCTCATACTCTACAAGGCAGCACGAATGGAGGGAGGGGAGATAGCATGGCAGAAAGAGACAGAGACACACAGCATGTGTGTGAGAGAGAGAGATGCACATTGCCCCTTTAAGTATGCTGACCCCACTTTAAGTACACTGCCTTTTAAAGTAGATCAGCAAGTTGAGACAGCAGCTTATGCTGGCAAGCTCCCTCCATCCTGAGCCCTGTCGTGTGTCCCCCTATGGAGATGGGGTAAGCAGGGTGCAGGAGTAGGGGTGGAGAGGGACACCCTGACATTAGTCCCCATCTTCCCCCCACCCCCACCCTGCACAGCAAGCAAGAGGCTCCGGGGAACAGCTCCAAGGCAGAGGGCAGGAGCAGCACATGGCAGTGGGAGGAGGGACAGCTGAACTGCCCGGCAATTGATAGCCTGCTGGGTAGCTGCCGCACAGGGAACTTAGGTGAACGGGGAGCTGATGGGGGGCTGCCGGTCCACCCTGGTTCCAAGCCCCCACCAGCTAGCTCCAATGGGCTGCTCTTCCTGCAAGCAGTGGACAAAGCAGGCGGCTGCCAAACGATGTTATAAGGGAGCATTGCTCAACTTTAAATAAGCATGTTCTCTAATTGATCAGCAACATAACAACAAAACAACGTTAACCGGGATGACTAAGTGAGGAGTTACTGTACGTTTTTACAATGCACATGTACCAGTACAGAAAAGCAGCTAGAGGATTTTCATTCCCACCATTTTATATGCTTTAAAGCTCAAGTCTTCTAAGTACTCTGAAATCCGAATGGTTAGTCGGATTGATTTGAAAATGTGGTCTCTCTCATTAGGGCACAGGGTAGAGCTAGGGATTCAAATTTGGGGTCACTTGACAAAGAGGTTACCAGTTTACAGGTTGTCTTAAAAAAAAGTTTCCTTATGCTGCCCTGTACTGTTAAACTGAAAGTTACTAAATCACTGGATGAATCAGAGCTCATTCTGTTTGACTGCTGCGAAGTCATCCTTCAATTAACATAACTAAGGATAAGTTAATCACAAGCACCCACATAACACAAAAGGAATTTTGAACTGAGTGGTTGTAGTGCTACAATTTGAGAGTCATGAGTGGCAGTTTTATTTTGTGGGGAATAAAAATCAGAGTATGAGGGGGGAATTAGACATGTGAATGCTTAAGAACATAACCACCGCCATACTGGGTCAGAGCAAAGGTCCATCTAGCTCAGTATCCTGTCTTCCGACAGTGGTCAATGCCAGAGGGAATTAACAGAACTAGTAATCATCAAGTGATCCATCCCCTGTCACCCATTCCCAGCTTCTGGCAAGCAGAGGCTAAGGACATCATCCCTGCCCATCCTGGCTAATAGCCATTGATAGACCTATCCTCCACGAACTTATCTAGGAAAGGAGGGCATTATGGAGAGGAGGAGCAGTACATGTGTTAATGGGATGAATTGGGTAACTGCTGAAGGAGGGTAGAGTTAAAGATTGGATGCCTTAACTCTGCATTTCCTGGTTTTCAGAAGTTTCAGTTTTGATTCACTCAACGTTCTGCAAGGGGACGACATATCAATAAGCAACCCTAACTTTGCAGAAATGTTGTTTTTTGGGTCATTCCATACCTATATGGTTGCACTTTTATAACAGAAGAGAACCCTGCATTTCTTGCACACCCAGAACTCCAACTTAAGTGAATGGGTACTCAAGGAATGGAGAATTAGGCCTTATGTGCACCATACCACTTGCTATAGGCAGCCAAATACTGCAGTCTTGTCTTTGTTCTGCCTGAGTAGTTGTATCAGTTACTGATAAGCTGAGCTGAAGTAAGGAGTAATGTACTGAGGGAGGTAAGCAATAACTGCACATTAGGGCAAATTACCACCTCTCATCAGAAGTTGTAAATCAGATATCCTATACACAAAGGATAATTTTTTAAAATAGCTTTGGGTTTGGGGTTATTTGTTTACAGCACAGAAGAGTGTTGATGTCTTGTACATTACTTTGCTCTTACTTCTGGCCCTAGCAAGACTCTGCCATCTTCACAGATGAGAAAGCAAAGATCAGTTACTGGATGTTCTAGAATTCCAAACTAAAACTGTGATCGCACGGAGATCTCTATTCCAAAGGAGGATTAGGTCTTTAATATCTTGTGTAAAGCTGATTCAGAGGTAAATATAACTCTGAAACCCATGCTGAGGGCATCTTACTGCAGCACAATGACATTTGACTTAAAAGGAATCCTGTACACGAGTATGTGTTAGGCTAAAACAACGTGCTAAATTTTTATGTGGTTACTATTTAGAAATCAAAACTGAAGTATTTAACATTAGAGCACCTCTCCATAAAAAGTTACATAGATAAGTAGGTAGCTTTAAACTCATATGATGCGAGTTTGATTTCTTTCCTACATTGTTCACAGTACAATAGTAATAATCCACATTACTCACATATTTTATTAACCAGTCATGATACTATTTTAAATTTGATCAATAAAACCATTATTTTTTTTTTCCCCCAACATCATTTGCATCTTTCTTTTTCTGTATTTGGTGTTCATCACCTTGATTTAACACATTACCTGTTCATATGCCCAGAACTTAATAGCAGTTTCAGGTGCGATTTTAATAACATTCACACCATTTCCCCTCCAAAGGGAACGGATGCCTCCTTCTTTCACCATCTGCTTAAGGCCACTTGATATATTCATTTTATTTGACTTTGAACCATGAACCTATTAACCACAGTAAGAAAAAAAATGCTTAGATATGCTTAGATTGGACAGGGGACTCATTTTTAAGCAACAAAGGATAAAAGCTGTAGTAAATAGTTAAATCAAAACCCCCTATAAGACAGACAGTATAATTACTTGTCTCATAATTGAATAGCTGTAGTCAATCTGAGATGCTGCAATATGACTGTAAACTAAGGATTGTTTTCACACCATTAACATTATCTGTTGCATTTCTTAAAAGCTAACACTATAGTAATAATAAATAAATTAAATTAAATTAATGGAGATATCCTATCTCCTAGAACTGGAAGGGACCTTGAAAGGTCACCAAGTCCAGCCCCCTGCCTTCACTAGCAGGACCAAGTACTGATTTTGCCCCAGATCCCTAGGTGGCCCCCTCAAGAATTGAACTCACAACCCTGGGTTTAGCAGGCCAATGCTCAAACCACTGAGCTATTCCCCACCCGTCTTTCATTTTTATAGCAGTTGTGATATTTCTTCCAAACTGGCTACTAGTTCAAAAGGGAATATAAATGCTCATTATCAAGAGAAATGCAATATATTCCTTATAATGCATACTACAGAAACACTACATAATGTGCTTTTTAGATTGAGTAGTACTTTCTATGCGGCAGACTCAGAAAACATAAAGCAAGCTACTGTTTAAAATCTTGTAATTTTGAAAAAAATGTATGGGAAGTGGGTAAAAAGTGTGAAATTTATTGCTGATCTTAATACACTGTTGTAGTTTATACCAGCACAACTGATTTTGAGAGGGTAGATGTATTTTCTAGTATCAGTCTTTTATTAATCATTTCAGATATCAAACGGAACATATTTAATAGAATATCTGTACCACAACACACCACAAAGCAAGTCTCATTACAAAAATGCAGCATTTGAATTCTTTAAAAAAAAAAAAAAAAAAAAAAAAAAAAAAAAAAAAAAAAAAAAAAA